ATATATAATTCATCAAATAACGAAGTGACTATTTCTCTGAACGTTGGGAAAATAAAGTTGAACTCTATTTCTCAGAACGGTTTCCAATCTCGAGATTGTTTGCGAGATTTAGGCGTCATCCTTTCATTCTGCCATTCTGCAAGGACTGGGAAGAAGCTTTTTTTTGCATCAAATTCAATTTCAAGAGCTAGAGATTTTTAAATGTCTGAATATTCAGATACTTCAGTTGTGGTCAGGGCAACGTTCCCGGACTACACTTCATTGGAAAATACCTTCAAAAGGCACTGCGAGAAAACAAGACTGCTTGACCATGGCAGAAACCTATTTTTCATTTAGTCACCCAGCAAAAATTAAAATCCTTTCGTCCTGTTAAAAAAAAATCCCTCTACGCCCCCCGGGTTCACACCTTACACACACACCAACACACACACACGCACACTCACAAACGCACACACGGGCCACTCCATTCGCTATTTATCAACAAATCTTGAGAACTGAAACCGTTCGGAGAAATAGAGTTCAACTTCATTTTCCCGAACGTTTGGAGAAATAGAGCCGGCCTTATAAAATTGCAAATTTGTTAGATCTAATCTAGATCTAGAATTCTTGATTATCTATATTAGATATAGATCTAATCTATTGCATGAACAACGAGTGGGCTCCAGTTCAAGTAAATCTAAACAAAAAACAAATGTACCATCTAACTCAACTAAATCTAGATCTAGATATCTAGATCGAACTGGACCCGGAAGACAGTGATTTTAACTTGAGTTCGGTCAGTTCTAGATCTAGATCTAGATCTAGTTCCAGGAAACGTTGCCTCGGTAATGAATGTAAACAAACATTTTCATCTCCTATCCAGGGATTCCAGGGGAAATACAGCACAAGCCCTGCAACTTTATAGCCTACCCGAATATAATATTTCCTATTCACACAACCCTTTCAGAATCTTAATCTCAACATGAACCTAGATCTAGATAGATCTAGATTCTAGATCTATACCTTTACGACAGTTAGCTATTGTAGATTCTACCTCTCTGCGGTGTGTGTATTCTGCTAGAGGAGGAAGAACTATCCACTTACTTCATCTTTCGCTTGTACATTTGGGAGTGAAAATGGCATCAACCAGTCACTGAGATGTCCATAATATCTTTTGAAAATGATATACGAACTACAGCAGGCTGCACCTCCTAAAACCAGTGCTTGTATTCTTGAAGGTCGTGAAGCTGGATTCTGAAACTTTTGCCATATCCTGCCATTCTGAAAAGTAGAACGACTGAAGATTCTCCTGAAGAAGGCTGCCATTTTTGTTTTCACGTTACGCGCATGCGCAGGTGGGAGAAGGATCGTCGTCCAATAGAACCCGTTGGCTGTGCCGAGAGGAGCTTTGCAGCGACTCGCAGGTCCAGTCACTTCAGTCTCGGCAGTCTGTGTGCGGTATTTCTGTGAGCAGGGAAGCCACTGTTTTCTACGGACTTTCTAATTACTGTCTTTAAAACTCCAGATAGAAGTGTTCCAACTATCATTCTACGACTGGAATGATAACTTTGGATAAATACTTTTCACTTTCTGGCATTTGGAAATTATTGTTTTAGATTATAACGGAGTAAGGAAATTTTCTTCGCTTCATTCATTGAACTGACTGATCCCTGCAGTAGTAGCGCAGGTTTGGCGATCGGTTTTTTCATTGCCTGCGCAAAGGGTGTAAATTGAAGTGATCGGAATAAACGCACAACCGAACGCATTATGGACTAGAGCGGGCGTTTAAAGCTCTTTCTTTTTTTCTTACTAAAAGGTAAGTTAATGTCGCTCTTTTTGTTTAATTTTAGTTGTAAGTCGTAACCGATTTTCACGCACGTTATCAAGCCTTTGTCATATTTATTAGGCTCGCCGTTCCCTCACCTGACCGGCCGCTGTTTTCGTTTTCCGAACTTTTAAATAAGTTAGGTCGTGCGGCTTTATCTGAGTTTATTTGACCAGTGGCACATATATAGACTACGTTATTCCGTGTTCCGATCATTTGGGTGTATTGAGAGGAGATTAGATTCTGTCGCGGTGGTCGGCGATAAGATGCGTACTACTTGAAAAGAGCCGCTAGTTAGAGATTCAGATAGCCGCGTCAGTCCTTGATAGTTGATAGTCTATGAAGTCTACTATTGACGTGTACAACTACACACAAACATGTGGGTTGTCGTTTGGCTTTGTTGGGGCGTCTGTTTGAACTGTTTGTGTGTGTGTGTGTGTGTGTGTGTGTGTGTGTGTACG